TGTATTTTGTTTCATTCACATGTTTAACACACATACCTTGCATATTTCTCAAATTAAAAAAAACACTCTTTTTCACCTTGTGATTTCATGTGGTAATATAGGAGGAGCTCTCCTGTGTTTTTAAACTCCATACACCTTCATTACAGTCATTTGGCTTATATCAGCCCTGGAATTATTCAAGCTCTACTGAGTTGTTAATTGGAAATCACTTCCTGACATCATAAAGTGGAACAGAGCATTTTGAACTTTGGAGATGTAGACAGACTAATAAAAGGTTATTCAAACATGTGTGAATGAAACAAAACACAACTCCAGATGTGTTTTTGATGAGGTAACAACATTTCAACATGGTTTAAAGATTCACTTTTCTCATGTGGTAAGCGATTTGACAGAGGCATGGCTTCTAATTTGCACCAGTGGGCTCTCCAATCAACACCAGTCACTCTTTGACATACTTCATTATGAAATGTCTTGCTCAAAGACACAACAGCATTGACCAGAGTTGGAATCACACCACCAACTCTCTGATTATAAGATAGCTCTGTTATTATGTTATGTTATATCCAACAACATATGGATTAAATATCTTGAATATCTTGAAAATATCTTGCGAACCCCAGCCCATGTCTTGTGACTATCAACTTTGGATACCACTGCTGTAAATAATGCAAGTAACATGTCACCATTTTAATCTATATTTGTGCATTTGCCAAGTACATCTGTATTTCCCCCATACCTTTCAATCATTCCTAAATCAAATCCAGTGTCCCTGCTCACCTAAACAATATGTCCTGAATCAAATGAGGATTTGGTGATTATCTTTTATCTTTCTCACCCGCTGCTCCACTCCAATTGATTTACCGACGCCCATTAGCATTTTAACATTGTTGGGAGGTGACTGCCACTGTCCTTTTTCGGGAGACAGAAATAAACATTATCCAACATGAAAGGGCTGGATGACAAATTACTGTTTTAATCAATCCCTGGCAGCATCGCAATCATCCCAACATCACAAGATTAGGCCATGTCTCGCTGGGTTTTCGTTTGCGGAGCCAAGACTGATAAATGAATTTGATTATTTTATGTACCAGGAGAGACAAGTATTTTAAAGCATTGATGAATGTTTTGCTGTTTACAATTGAAGCAGTGTTCCAAGAAGTTATTAGACTGTTAAGTGGTTGCGCAAGAAGACGTAGTGTAAAGAATTTGGTTCATATATATCTGTGTACGGTATATAGCTGAAAACATCCTGGATTTGACATTTTATTCTGAGTAGTTTTTTTTAAATTTTTTTAAAAAATCAATTTATTTGGTCAATATTCAACTGGAAATCATAAATGCATATCTCCATAACGTATTTACAAACTCATATTGGGCGTATATAATAACATAATAACATTTTAGTCATTGCCTTTTGACCCAAAAAGATGAATTGCATAACTTTTCTGTTAGAGTATCTGCCATCTGCTTGTCTCAATGGAGATGTTTTGGCTTTGCTGTGAATGTCAATGGCTATTTCTATGGAGACAAGCAGGGCACACCATCATGGGAAAGTTACGGGTCAGGGCTGTGGAGAGGTGACTACACTATTTTTGAGCAATTATACCTGTAAGCTAAATAACTAAATGTCAAACTGGAACATTCTAGCGAAAAAATAACATCTGCATTGAGACTAGAGGAGACAATCTTCCACTACAGAAGTTGCATTGTGTTGCTTAAAAATTTGATTAACTGCAAAACCCAGATATAGATCATATTAAAGGTCCTACACTACACAAAATTGAGTCTTGTGAGCTTTATAACATTGTTACTTCATCAAAAACATACCTGGAGTTCTGTTTTGTAGTTTGAGTAATCCCACATTGCATTATTAGTCTGTCTACATCTCCAAAGCTCAAAATGCTCTGTTCCATCTTGTGATGCCATGTTTTCAAGTTAACTGCTACTTTTTGTTCAGTACAGATTGGCAGTTTCAGAGCTGAAATTTTCCAGATGATTCTAGTGAAGGTGTGTGTAGAGTTTAAAACATAGTGTAGCACTTCTTTTATTACCATATGACATCAGAAGGTGGAACAGAGTATTTTCAGTTTGAAAGAAGACCTCAGCCTAAATATGCAGGGTTTGTGTGTTAAACATGTGTGAATGTAAAGAAAACACAAGTCCAGGTATGTTTTTGATGTGGAAACATTATAACAAAGATAAGAAAATAGCCTAATATGGCCCCTTTCCATCCACCCCAAGAGAGACATTAAAGTCAGTCCACATGGGAACAGTCTGGAAACATGAGCCGCCATGTCAAAAACATTGAAGCCTGCAGTAACTCTGATAAATTATGAAGTACCCCTGTGTCACTGTCTGCCCCTCTGATGTGCCCCCTCTCTGACAGTAGCTAACAACACACTGAGCCGAATGGGACAATATGCTGTGTCTATGGAGAGGGAGCACATGACAGAGCGCAGCCAAGTGCCAATGTGGATCCTCTCTGTCACAAAGTAATCCAAGCGCCACAATTAAATGATGGATTGTACAGCAAATCTACGCATTCAAGGTCAACTAGGCACCCCGTCCTTAGTGCAATTAGTCAACAAGGTAATGTGGTGGAGAGGAGAGCAGATTCAAATCAGATTTAAGGGTGAGCAGACAATAGAATAACTTTGCGTTTATGTGTGTTAAAAATGACAACAAGGGAGAAGGACGCTTTGCAGCTGATGTGATTTCATCAACATTCCCTGGGGGTGTGATTAAGAAGCTCTGTTAGACTTTAATCTTAGACTTAGATGGAACTTAGATGTTAAACAAGTCACAGTCACAGTTTTTTTTTTTTTTTTTTTTTTTTTTTTTTTGAGCTTTCACACGTTCTTAAAACTTTTTGGCAGTGTTTGCTCATGTGTGCCTTGTGTCTTTATGGTAACTGATGAACATTCCACCAATACACATACATGTGGAACACCTCCACCTCCAGATGTGACTGTAAAATATAAATAGGCCAGCTGTATTTTTTTTTTTTAGGTGCTATGCGATTTTCTGGTCCGGGTCTGGCACCTGTTTGTCTCCATGGAGATTGTTTTCCCTGGAATATTTCAGGTTATGGAATTACAAGTATTTCACTTCATACATCGACACAAGCAGTTGATGCCATTAGGCTTAGTTACAGGTCTGCAAAAAACCCAAAAAACTTTACTTGAATACCAAGCCAGAAAGATTAATACCTGGAACATTCCTGGCAAAGCAATAACATCTCCATGGAGACAAGCAGGGGCACTGGGACAAATAAATATTATTTTGAGACGAGCCCCTTGAGTTGATGTGTTATAGTGAATCTTTACTATTGCAAGATATACAGGCAGCAGGATTTTTATTTTATTTTTTTATCACATTTTGGAGAGTGTTTTCACAACCTCCTGCTGTTGTTTTGCTATGCTTTTGTGGGATGCATATCTAATTTAACTTAGCTTTGGGGAAAATCCAGGATCGGTCGGACAGTGTCTTTTGTGGAGCTGTTTGTGCGTCCAGTTTTATAGATGGTTATTGCTTTATGAATGAACTAAACCTTATGAAACAAATATTTAAAACATGTCCTTTTAGTTACTGTAATGTTGTAATGAAATCCAGTCTAAACCTAAAAAGACTCTCTTGAATCTGAATCCTTATTACCAAAACCCCAGCTCCTGCAACCAATCATGATTGAATTCTGGAGATTCTGAGCTTTCATACGCCTGTCCATATACCGACAATGACAAAAACATATATGTGTCCCCTTTGTGCACATTAAGGCACTGGCAACTTAGGTTCAGTTGTGATTGTAGTAGTTACAAAAGTTTAAAACAGTAAGAGCACGAGTGGCATAGAGTTAGTGACAAATTAGTCTTTAGCTGGTGTCATAACATATTGAATAAATGCAACAGACAATATAAGTGTAGAGAAAATACTAAGACATGTAAACAAAATGTCACGTATACCTGGGGGAAACAGGAAACAGCTTGAACAATGATCAGGCCATAATGGAGGCTCACATAGACTTTCACACTCATTAGAAAACATGTGGATGAGTCTGAAGCAGAGGAACATCCTGTACTACTGAGTGAAGGCAGAGGGAAGGGATTTGCTGCACAAGTAATGAGCACTGAAATAAGCTCACTAACCAAAGACCCTACTTATGCACTGACGCTGGCTATAATGCAACACCCAGGCTTTTTGTAAGTCAAGAAGTACAGAAATGAGTCACTATGTGCAATTAGTAATCACCGCCTTTGAATTACTACGTTTTGTCTGACTGTTTAGTTGAGACAGGGTTGTTATTCTTATTTTTCAATATGTACGTAACATTCTAAAAAAAATTTAAGTTATGTTTTTTTTGTAGAACCCCCTTTATAACCATATAGATACCCTCCAGAACTACACAGAACACACATGGAAACCAATCATTCTAAGCAAACATAATAATGGGCCCTAAGTATAACCATTTCCTCTGGCAGCAACCCCAGAAATAGAGGTACAGTATGAAAATGGAAAGTTAAAACAACATTTTTCAACACTTTTCCATAGAAATAAGTTTTATGCCATACTGTGAAAAATTATAGCAAAAAAAGAAAAGAAAAAAAGAAAAGGATGAAGGGGTTTGTGGAGATGCAAGCTCTGTCAGAATAAGCATGCATTTTTTTCAGTGAAATGACCACAACCCAATTGAATAAAACAAAAAAACAAAAACTTATCTTATATTGGTCTATGTTTTGGCTAAGAAGTTTCATACTGTGGGCTTAAGTAATACATGTAGAAATATGATATAGAAAATTACTACAGTTATGTTATGTAATGCTACCAAAATGTATTAATAAGTTAAGTTTTGTTATATTAAGTATGTGTTCCCCATCTGCTGAAAACCCGACAGTGGATTGAGATGAAGTACCTTCTCCAGCCAGTAGAGACAGCATGGCAGTAATGCAACTTATTGGATGTAAGTTGTCATTAAATTCCGCAGAAGAAGAAACGGTGCCCTCCAGACATGTAAACAGAAACAGCGTGGTGGAAGTAGAGTAGAGGAGTAGAGGCTGCTCTGGCTGGAGCTCTTCATTGTTTTTGGTATATGGAGTTAGAATAGCTGTCAGTGCAGAAGAAGATTTGCATACAGTTAGCTCAAGATTGTACCAGCTTAAAAAAAGGATGTTTACTTTTTTCAGATGTTGCATTTTACCTGCCATCAAGCTTTACTGGTTGGGCTTTAGGGTCCTTCTTGGTCAACTTCTCAGCAAGACTTTCAAGCTACCAGGTCAGTAATGATGCTAAGATAATCACTCCAATCTCTATGCAATGGTCAGTACTTAAGTTATAATTTTCCTGATATGGATGCTTGTTTGATCAGCCTATCAGGATCTAGACAAAATAATATATTGTCTGCAGACCTCAAATGTACAATTTCAATACAGCTAGGATTTAAAGGTGTACTATGTAACAATAAGAATGCATTTGGATTTTTTTATGTTGTTGAGTAAATGCAAGATAGGTTCTTAAATATGAGGCTATGAAACATTTCAGGTAAAACAATAACATCTCATGAAGACGAGCATGGGGTGGAGTTCACAGAAAAGTTACATACTGCTCCTTTAAGTTTAGTATCTGTATTGTTTATTTGCTACATATTAAGATACATACTTACATATTTACTACATTTTAAGATTTCTTAAAAAACAAAACAAAAATCAACAAATAAGATGATTGTTTAAATTTCTTTATTAAAAAAAAACAACAAAAAAACATTTGTATGCTGTTTGTGTCTTAAATCATTGGGCAGTATCCTTATCATTTGACATTGTCCTCATATCTGCGTCCTCTTCTGTCCGCCGCAGACATGCCCAAACAGGAGGGGAAGGTCGCCATAGTGACGGGAGGAGGCAAGGGCATTGGTTTTGAGGTGACTCTGCACTTGGCGGGACTCGGGGCTCATGTGATCATTGGTACAGTATAAAACACAACACTCAAATAGTAATTTTCAGTGTTGATTCATACAAAAGGCTAACGAACCAGTACTGTGAAACCCGTAGAAACTCTTTCGCTGTTAATGGGATTCATTTATGGCCTGCATGCCAGATCTGTCCTTTCTACTTTATTTGGATCTTATTGTACCACTTGGTTATTGAAGTTTTCTTTTTGAAGTCAGACAGAAATATCATTTGCTTATTAGATTTTGAGCAAAATTGTGTGTACACTTTTTTGTGCTAATGAAAGTATCCATTAGAAAACCAGCAAGAAAAAAAAAGCTAATTTTGCTTTTTGCACAATGTTTTCCATTTTCCATTTACTAAAGGCGTTTAATGGGTTTAATATCACAAGTAACTATCTTATCAGTTCATAAAAAACATAGCCAGAGTTGTGATTTGTTTCATTCATACGATTTATTTAGGCTGAGTTTGTTTCTCAAATGGAAAACAGTCTGTTCCACTTTGTGATGCCATGTAGTAATACAGTGAGTGCTCCACTGTGTTTTTAAACTCCATACACTTTCACTAGAATCATTTGGATCATTTCAGCCCTGGAACTGCCAATTTCTACAGAACTAAAAGTGAAAGATAGCTGTTAACTTGAAAACTATCACTACATAGCATCACAAGGTGAAATAGAGCAGTTTGAGCTTTGGAGATCTGGACAAATATCCGTGGAGATGTAGACAGACTAATTATAACGGGTTACTCAAATGTGTGAATAAAACAAAGCACAACTCCAGGTATGTTTTTGAGGAAGTAACAACATTAGAACACGGCTTAAAGCTCACAAGAATCCATTTTGTGTTATATAGGGCCTTTAATTGAAATGTGATTCAATTATCAATGTTAAGCTAGGGGCTTTTTTCACAGGCAGGACAGGTCTACAGCCTTTTCTCCATCAGTAAAAGCAAATTGTTTGGAACAGAGTTCGGACTTTGGAGAAATACTGTTGCCACTAGAGTGAGCAACATTTATTTGTTGTTCATGCTGAGGTCTGTCTTATCTATGTTCATAAACCTTAATTAATGAAACCAATATTTATTTGCTTTTACACAAAAATTAAAATGTAATAATAAAAAAAGATTAATTCTTCATTATATTGCCCAACATTGAGTCTTTTACATTTAACATGTGAATACTGTAAAATTTCATTGATCTCAACTGTAACCGTAATGGAGATTTTTATTGTCTGCTTTTTTATATATTTCTATGTTCATGATCATTTCACATTTTAGTACAAAGATGAGGCACTGTACATGGTTCCCTGATTTCACAAAAAATATACGAATAGCGTACTGAATGTACTTGTTTCTGAGTCTGCACTGCGGAGTCTCCCAGCCCACCTGAGCACCTGGCAACACAAACCACATTGAAATTCACCTTGACAGCTACGTGATTTCTTTGAAAGTTTTTAACAACCTCAAAGTGAAAGGAATGAAAGGCAATGGAATGAATGCAGTGAGAAAGTCAAGGTATTCCAAAGCTGAACCTGATGAGAATTTTTATATATATATAGTTTCAGTAGAGATTACATTCCTTCTAGGTTTGACTTATGATTTGACATCTAAAGTTTGGGGCTGTTGTTAGAATTACATCCAAACTTTGTCAGTATTAAATTTGATGTGAAGTTTATTTCATCACCTGTGCCAGTTCATCTCTTCCCCTGAGCGATGCTAACAGGTTTGGGGTTTACTGCGGTGAAACAGCAAAACAACATGTTTTTGTCAAACCTCCATGAATTTTTAATATGCTTCAACTTTCTCTCATGATGTCCGTGGTTTGTGATGTGAAACTGAGTGCTTTTGATGCAATATTAAGGACTTATTTGTGTTGAATTTGGATTTAAGCCTTTTTAAAATGTATTTTAACAATATCTTTTAGTCGTGCTTAGGTGCTGGCTTACTTTTCATCTAGGTCCAGTTTTTATTTTGTTCTTTTTCTTTTTTTTTTTTTTTTTTAATTTAGAACAGACATTGTCCTAGTTTATCCTACTGTCATGTTTTACAAATTTTTGGTATTCTTAGGATAGTTGAGTTTTTTTTTTTAACTCATTTAAATTTCCAACATTATTCAGACAATTTACTGTTAATTGCCACTTGTTATAAAAGTGCGGCCCTCTTGAGAGCTTGCAAAGTGAAAAGTTTGAATGTTTTTGAGGATGAACTGGATTGCATGATATTAAAATTCAGTGGGAAAGCACAATAACATTTTGGTGGAAGACCCAGCAGCTCAGTGAAACCATTTCAGAATATCAATAACTTTCCTATAAGTGCATGTTTCTCATTCTCTTCACAAGCCCCTTTACTTTGCACCAAACTCCTTGTTCGCTCCTTGTTTATTTACTGTCAATGTTAAAGCAACTTTGGAGAAATGCAGAGGGTAAATTAGACCTGGATTTCAGCAAAATGTGTCTTGCCTTAGTACCATAGTCAGATATATTGCATATAAAGAGCTGTTGATGTCAAAATAAGTCAGTTGTGTGCTGTCTGCATCTAATTTGTATTATACAATAATCAGGAAGTGTGCTGTCAGCATGTTAGTTGTTGTTAGCTTTACCGTAACAACACTCTATCTTTGAATGGTGTGAATAGCACTCATCACCGTGAATAATTCTGGTGCTCTCAATTCATAAAGTAAGTGAGGGAAAGACTTTGGACCACTGCATATAGTTCAAAATTAAAACAAGATTTGGTGAAATGTTTAAATAACTTAGCAGTTTATACAATTTCAGAAACATTTAAAAACAACCATTTTAAATGGGAAATGTACTTCTGGAACTGGACAGAGAACATTAAAGAAAAGAGTGAGGGGAGAAGAGAACAGTTAACCACACTTCAAACTCTGCCCCTGCAGAAACACCTGCCTAGTCAGGGCAGTCTTTCATGATGTTATGTCACCAACTGCTGGAAATTGCAGCACAAACTTAGATTTGGGCATTTTTGACCAGAAAGCTGCAAATTTACCTTTGCACAAAAATAGCTTAAAAAAATTCACTAGCATCAGATAATGCTATTAAAACATGATTTAGAATCAAAAAGTGGATTTAGTATTTAGTCACATTTCCACAAGTTAGGTAATAAATCTAATCTAATGTTGCTGTATTTTCCAACTATAGAAAAAAGATACAGTGCCATCTAAGAAACTACAGAAAAGAAAGATCAAATAACCATGACATTAAAGAAAGTAAATTAATGTAGAAATAATGTAAAATATTAGGCCTATATAAAATATTAGTACTGGATGGTGATAATTGTTGTAAATACAGCATGTTTGTTTAGAAAATTTTATATACAGTGATGTCAAGTGGCCAGCAGTAGACAGACATTTGATTATAATTTTACGGAAGCCAGATTAATCAATTAATGAAGAAACTGGGAAGACTACCTAATACAGTGAATTGATGTGATGAAAATAGATGTTTTCTTCTTATGGGCTTTTTAGCTGTAACTGTAAGTTGGATCATGTTAAATTGAAAGCCTAAGCTGTAAACTGGTTCCTGGTTTACAGAATATAAGTATCATGTCCCTTGTGTCATTTTTGTGTGTGCTGTTGTGACCCTACAGCACAGCACCTGGAAAAGCTGCACATTTTCAGCTCTGCTTTGAATTTACAATGCATCAGGGTAAATGGAGCTGTGTCCTTGAAAAGACCCGCGTGATAATCCAAGATTAGTGCCACTGAATGTGTGTGTGTTTGTGTGGATCCTACAGCGAGCGAGGGAAAATAAAAAAAAATACACTTATCCACGTGAAGTGTGCAGCATAAAACAATGCTTTTTTAATGCAAGTCTTTTATCATCCTTTCATAGATACTACAGGTATTAGCATTGTTTTGTGTATGGTGGTGAAGGTGGTCAGTGTTGAAATGCAGGAACAATCTCCTCTCTTAGGACATAGCTTTTACGTGGAAATATGCAGATAGGATATTACATGTATTACATTCACTTAGATTAGAAAGAGAGTGACAGGTCTGTAAACATGCAACGCAAACACTACTCAATGTCATATTAAATTGTTCAATACCATTACAATACACATAAGGTGACTATATACATGCATATTATTCTAACGTGTTAAACGTGCCATATTTTCACAGATATGTAAGAACAGATTCATAACGGCCTAACTCTGCAGTATTCAGAGAAAAATGTGTGCAGTTAAATTAAAGGTTATGTTTACTGATAATTCCCATAAACCCAATGAAAGAAACATTTGTTTTTGAACTTTTGAGGCCTAAAATTAAATTGTATCAAGATTATCACTCATGCATTGAGATATGTACCATAAATGTGAGAACTGAGTAGTCGCATTCCTGTCCCCATTATCATGTGGATTGTTTTATGAAGGAAATAAGTTGTATACGGACTATAAAGCCATTTTAAAGCCCTTCATCATTGCATTGCTGAATTGTTGGTACACTTTTAATTTTTTTCTCACTTCTTTATGTCATATTTGTCATTGAAATGAAAGCTTTCCTTGTTTAACCAGAAAGGTCACCACAAGAAAGTGAAGTTTAGGAGCATATGGAGACAAAAGGTGGAATAAGGTGAATATAAAATTTAATAAGTCCAGTGTTTATCACTAAACCATGAAAATGTTAATGCCATAAACAGTGTTTAGAGAGAGAGTAAATGAACATGACTATCTAAAGGTGCACTGCATGTGCCGTGGTTGCATTGGTATTGTGTTAACTATTGGATACGTTTAATGCAATACCATGGAACGTCTCCAGAGATCTTACCTGTAACTTAGCCTGGTACCACAATCTGCTTGTCTCCACACAGATAGACAGATAGTTTCATGCCATACTGTGGAACATTCAAGGCAAAGCAAGCCTCTCACCTGTCCTTGGTTTTAGGATTACCTGTGGTTTAAGCAGTTATATGGGTAACATCTAGTTGTGTTATGTGAGAATAAAACAGGGCTGTGTCAGCCAATCTAACTTTAAGTAAGATTAAATACTTTTCTGTTGTGTCTCTAATGCATTCTAACTATTTACTGATTAATTTTGAAGAATGATTTGCAGTTGGAGTATTGTGGTGTTAAACTAAACAGGCTTTCAATTGTCCGTCCTTTGGGAATAATAATAATTAAAAAAAAAACAAAAACAAAAAAAAAAAACAGTGCAATAAATACTCAAGGATAGTCTACCATTCATTTCACCTTTAGAAAATCTTTGTTCTCTGGTTTCATAAAACCACACTTCATTTGTATGCAGAGCCCCTCCTAAAGAAACCCTCCCGTACTGAGAGAGAGGAGTCAATGACTGTATCTTTCATCAGAGCAAAATGTGTCACAATTTTATTAAATGGACTGCACAGTGCACACTATATGAGGCACTGATTTTTAAAGGGCCGGCGAATAATGTCTTGGTCTTTAATAGCTGATTCTGTGAAGGAAAAGAAATGCATAGGCAAATCATGAAGTGAATTCTAATATGTAAAATATAGATTGCATAAATAATCTTTTTTTAATTCAACCCTGGACACTGTGTTGTAACAGAGAAGTACAAGAACAGTAACAGTAGAATATGGCTTTAAGACTATTCAGGTATTCACTCAAATATTAAAAATGGATTCAAATAGAACCATTAAAACAAATAAACATGACCAGCTATAATTAAAACAATACTATATTGATTGAACTTGTAAACTTTTTTTAGTACTCCTTATATGTTACAATACTTTATGCAGTACCTTTAAAATATCAATTAATTTTTTTAGGGTAATACCATTACAGGAATTCTTCAGGCTCAGAACCAGTCAGCTGAATAAATGTATGATCCCATAGCACAGATTTAGTTTAAAACAAAAGCTTTTTCAGCTTTTAGGGATTAGCCCTGATGCTATTGATGCTTTTTATGCACTCACCTCTGGGGACATTTAGCCCTTTCAAATCAAAATACAGAATGCATTACGTTTTGTGTGCTTCGGTTTCATTTGAATTCTTCTTGCTGGTACTTCTTTAAAGGTGCACTTTGTAACCTGTCTGAGTGTCCAATATCTGCTTGTCTCCTCACTCACATTTTCAAGTTCTGAAAACATCAAATGTGAAAAAGTTCTTACAAAGACAATTTCTAAACATATATGGTTTAGCAAAGATTACTATTGTATTTTGTTATTATAGATGTGTAATAATTTTATATAAAAATGCATATATATATTGAACTGGCACTGTATATTATTAAATATTTTGATATTATATCTTTTTTGTCACAATAGTAGTTTTATTCAGCTTCCTGTTTATATGCGCCATGTTGCTTTTTCATACAGTTCCCTTGAAGAGCAGTTGCTTTCTCAAAACGTTTCTAAAATTAGCTTTTCCTGAATGCTTTTCATGGGACCTCAGTTCACCACACGGCTGCTATTTTGGCAAACTGCTTTTATAGAGAGGAAAACTCATATTGAGCTTGTCAGATGTCATTTATGTTGGATTTTAGGAAACTCTAGAAATAATGCTTCTATAACCAGGATGCACTGACCTCTTTGTGTATGTGTTTGCTGTGCTTTAGGCGGGAGGGATGAGCAGCAGGGTCTGGATGCTATTGCGAGGATCCGTGAAGTGTACAGAGAGGCCAAAGGTAAAATTACACATATTTTGCTCGGCTACACACTCACGCACAGGCACACACTGATACAAATATGCTGTTATTTATGCCATTGTTTGAAAGTAAAGGTCGTGGCTGCATCATTGTACTCCACAGGCAGCCTGTTTCAATGGAGTTCACACATTTAACACGTTGTTTAGATGTACAAAATACTGAAATGAGTTAAGTCATGGTTAAATTATAAAACTGTTGAATTATTAAATGATCAGATGACTTAATGACATAATGACTTGTAAATCTATTTGCACCTACTTAGTAACATTGCTACTCTACTATCTTAAAGAGGGAATATATTAATGTATTTCTTGAGCTTTCTACCATGTTATAACATTGTTTCTTCATCAAAAACATGCCTGAAGTCTTAGATGTCATCCATGCATGTTTGAGTATTTTAACAATCTCTTCTGGGCCATATTCAAACTTTCCTTACGGTTACCTGTAAGATTCTGTTCTGAGCTCAGCCCACAAGCCTATGTCAGTCATGCTCCCACTCAATAATTCTGCGTAAATATAACCTGATGCGATGTACCGTAATTTCATTAGTGGGATGCAATACAATACTTTGTTATCTATAACGTTAACATAATGACAGACACGTGCTCTCTTCAAATATTGTAGTGTGAAGTGGTAAGCTTTTAATAAAAGATGATAATGACCTGCCAGAGAATTCTGATAACATTGAATGTTATGCTGTGTTCTCATTTATGTTATAAAGTTGTAGCCTCATCAAAAATATACCTGGAGTGTATGTAATGTATGTAATGTTTTATTCACACATGTTCAATACACAAACCCTGCATATTTAGGCTTTTTAATTCTTCTCTCAAAGAAAGAAAACACTCTGTTCCACCTTTTTATGTCATGTGGCAATACAGGAAGTGCTTCACCGTGTTTAGAAACTCCATACACCTTCACTCAAATAATTTGGATAATTTCAGACCTGAAATTGCCTATTTCTACTGAAAAATAGGTAAATTGTAGCTGGTAACTTGAAAACTACCACTTCATGGCATCATGAGGTGGAACAGAGCATTTTGAGTTTTGGAGACAAACGGATAATAATGAGTTATTCAATCGTGTGAATGAAACAAAACACAACACCACATATGTTTTGAGGAGGTAACATGGCTTACAGCTCACTAGTCACTTTTGCACAATAGAGAACCTATAAAATGATGTCAGAATAGAGGAATTCCAGCTGCTGTTTGTTCATATTCAGGGGCATTTTCCTTCATAAATGATGGCACTTTCAGAGAGATGGTCGTCCTGCTGTGCTTTGAGGATATATGAGGAAAATGCCACTGAGAACCACTATAGGCGATAGAGCCTAAATCAAAGGTTAGCGGTTGGAACAGCATGACAAATGGACATACAGCGAGCATATAGATCAGCTCCATATAAAGAATTAAATAGAAAGAATAGGACGTGCCGACCAAGATGAGTTGATGAATGATTACAGCTAAAGATTTATGGTCCCATTGACTAAAGCTTACAGTGCTCTCTTTTACGCCCATGTTGAGAAATTGATCCGGCTGACCTTCACAGCGCTATAAATCCCCACACTGTCATGACTCAAACGCACCATAAGTTATCCCCAACACGGCCTTGAATCTGTACCAGCTTCTAAAAAGTGTGTCAGTGGACATTTACCACACAAGAGCTTTGCTTGTAAACCCATATTTTGCCAACTTGGAGGACAGGATCCAATGTGGTAAAAGATGACACGGTAGAATTCATGTTGGAAGTAGGACAGGCGATAAAAGTGTCAAATATCTGTAAAAAGTACATCCGTTGCCATGCTGCTGCAGACGGTAGTTTGATGACTCATAACCTGCAGTGCCAAAATTCTTTTTAAAGATAATTTTTAAACATCTACATCAGTTTTGTAAGCAAAGGATAACTATTAAAAATGCCACTGTACATTAACATTATTGGTTAATTTAGACTGCTTTTAAGTTTTTGTCTTGAAGATTGGTGTCAAAATGAGCCCACAAAACCACTCAAAATGTGAAATGTGTCATTATTTATTCTCTCCATACCTCTGCAGTATAGGAAACTGTGCAGCTAAAAAAAATAACTTCCTGACTTCAAAAAAGTCAGGGAAATGATGAACAAAAATGACTAGGAGTTTAAAAAAAAAAAAAAAACTTTCCAGGAGAATGATAAAAAGTTGGAAAACCAAATGAATGGTTATAAGGAAATTCGATATTCCTATAACACTTGAGTGAGAGACAGTGCGCAGCTTAAACAATCCTAGACAACCAAGAGAAAGTCCAGCAGAGAAGTGTAGTAGAGAAAACAACAAGGCTGCTGAGCATAAAAGTGAGAAGGACAGAACACCAATAGTGGACATTCAAACTAGTATTGAAGTTGGTGGAGATACATCAAATATTAATGAGAAACTCCAGAAGGGTGCAGGAGCTGTTCTCTAACTCCACTCAGCACAAGAGGAACGGCATTTCCTGAAAATGGATAAGAAGGAACTGAAGTTTGCCCTTAAAAAAAGTGGGGAAGTAAGAGCACAGCAATCCACCTGCCTAAAAACACAGACTATATTGGAGGAGCAGAGGAGGGTGCCCAGGCATTATGAAAAAATAAAACACATTTTGTTTTTAAATTGTGCATAACTTTTCTGGTGTAGGGTCTGTCAAATGCATTTTTTCATGGAGGTGTTATTGTTTGTCTGGTATGTTTCACAACAGTTCTATCTTCATGGAGACCAAATCAGACCAAGTTACAGGTCATATCTGTGGAGAGGCAAGAGCTGTAGAGCTGCTTAATGTCATACTGTGGAACATTCCAGGCAGAGCAATGACGTATCCACTGAAACAAGCAGGTGACGGACCCCCAACCAAAAAGTTTAAATATCTCTACAGTAGCTATTCGTGTTTATGGTTTTATATGTCAAAACTTTAATTGATATGATAGCGACATAGCATACTGTTGTTGCTTGATTTTTATGCCAAAATTGGACACACACAAAAAAAAGTGTATTTATTTTATTTGTTTTTCCCATACATTGCTCCAAACTGCATGTTCACAGTTCACAGTTCCCCAGCCTTCATATACATGACTCCTCTTTTTATTGTATATACAGTAGGACCTCATTATCCACATGTACTCCAAACATCCTGTGTTTTTAGACTATGTCAGAATTATGAGAGTGTATTTATTTTACAGAAATATTTGTACATTGTCTCTTGTTCCTTAGTTTCTATGAACAACAAATGGATAAGCATGGACTACTAAATTATCTTTCCATGCATTTAAGTAAATAACTGGTGACCATAATATTCATCTTCTAGCTCTAACTGAAACATGGCTCCAGCACTATGATTATTTTAGACTAAATGAGTCACATGAACTTTCAGAGCTCCAGGAGCACAGGCTGAGGTGGTGGTGTGGCATCATCTCACACTCCAGTTTACTTGCCTGTGAAATCCTCGTACTGTCAGTTTCTTGTCTGAATTGGAGAAACCAAAAAGCTGTTTTATTCATCGTCTACCGAACCCTCTGGTCCCTGTTCTGAGATTTTGATTGAGGTCTCTGACTTTATATCAAGTCTAGTTTTAGCTTGGGACAGGATTGTAATAGTTGGAGATTTTGACATGTTGACAATCGCCTTAGTGATGCCTTCAATGCCTATGGCATCTCTTTTGCCCAGAATGCGATTAAATCAACCCACAGACACAAGTATCATTTTAGAACTCACTGCTACTTCTTCCTGTAGTTTTGTACTTTTCTTCTCAGCATTTTTTCTCAAACTGCCACTTAACTGATGTAAAACTGTTACAAATATTTAACACAGGTAGTGCCAACCCAAACCAAGTAATTATTAGAAAAATATGAAATCCTGTCAGAGTATATGTATATATATATATATATATATATGCCACATAAATTTCAACTCAAACACTAAACATTTGCTAAAGTACTGGATAGAAAAAGTTTTTTTCTGAACTGTTTTAAATCTGTGCAGCTAAATGATGATGCATTGTTTACACCATTCGCGCTGTACTGTGCCAAATAGCGGTTTAATTAACCGCATTTTCCGCCTTTTCATAATTAGAAATTTAATAAAACATGAACGTGTGACCTTCCTGCAGATTTATTGCCTGTCTCAGTGACTCACACTAAAGTATTTAAATTAGTATCCAGAAAAACAAAGGTTGATCCTTTCTTTGTAACTTTTGTACAACCAAATCAGATCAAACACAATAAATGCACCTTTCATTTTTTTATTATTTTGACATAAAACAGATGCATTTACTTTTAAGTGGGTGATCAGTGGTGGTCAGAGGGGGCAATGTCGCAAATTGTCAACCTCACTTCCACTGGTCTACCCCAGGGTATAAATTTATAATCTTCTAAATTATAAAATCATATCAGATATATCTACTGAACCTCTACAGTCCCAGTATTTGCTGAATTTAGGTACATTTTCATCAATACTTTGTCTTCCCTTTGCCCTTAATTAGACCTGTCTTGATTAAAATCTGGTGGTACTCAAAATGTAATTTTTTCTTTAGGTGGAACTTGGTGTAGAAAGAAGAAAAGTGCTATTAATACTTAAAATAGGAAAAAAAATACTTATTAAGATTGGGAATTATTTATTCTATATTTTGCCATTTAGATTTCATAATACAGATATGCTATACATCTGTAGTATAGCACATCACTAAATCTGTGTTTTTTTTTTTCAGTCTGTATAGTTCAGGAAATGATTATAGTTATCAAAATTATGATTAACTGTCAACTAGTCATGATTATTCTAGTTAATATTTGCAGTTCTAGTATAGAAGTAACTTACCACAATGAGTATGGAGCATGAATCTAATGAAAAATGTCCAAATGTATATAGAGACTTCTCGAGCTATATGACTAATGCATTATCATTGTTATGTTTTCTGAATCCTTTCCTGAAATGTGTACTTTTATGTTTACGTGACAATCTCGCCATGCATAATTCAAAC